TATTTATATGAATTTGGAAACTCTCCAGACAATCGAACTTTTGCTTCAATCAACCGATGAATATCGACTGGAATATCAATAATCATTAGCACCCTCAATCTTTCTATTCGAGACCGATAAATCCTTTTTTTAATATTTATTGGAACAAATGGATAATATTTACGGATATTTGAGAGTGCCAAATCCATTTGTAAATTTAGACCTTTATGAATTGCCTGATAATTTATAGACATGATGCGTATGCTATGCTACTCTAAAAACAAAGAGTCTGTGTGACAGAAGGAATGATACGCATGTGATACGATTCTGAATTTAAATATTGTGGGTCAGAATCTGCACTTGAAATGCTATTGCCGCTGAAAGATTATGTGATATGATAAATGGGTCACAATGAATTATTGTGATGTTTACAGATATAAATGATGATGGTTTGCATGATTAATTGATTCTTTGTGATTTGAGATGCTTTGTTCTCGATTGGTAAAATTATTACTAGATAAATATTTGTGAATCGATATTTTATGAAACTAAGTATGAAAGGGGTACGATATATATATGGGCCCACTACCCTTCCATGTGTGCTACTAGATATTATGGATCCACTAGATAGCCACATGTGTGTGATTCGTAACCTGAAGTTACGATATGATTTGATCAAAGAACCTGTATATGACACGTAACTTGAAGTTACGAGATGGTTTGATCAAAGAATGACACAAGATGATTATGAAAGAATGAAAATAAGTGTCATACTAAAGTGGTGAAGCTAGTAATACATTCAGCTGATATGATGAACTCTTGAAAGAAGAATGTGCACATTGCAAGTGATATGAATTCAAAGTCCTCCTATTATATGTTGAAATAGAGAACAAAGTGGAGATTATATGAACTCCCCTCAAGAAACTTGTTGATATGGCTCATATATTGACAAAGGAAGGAGGCAGGTTGATGCCTGCGAGCGTAACGGAGCGAACGTAGCGAGGGAAGCGGACGTGGACGTAGGCACATTGTCGAACCATGTAAATCTTGTGTTGTTTACTTTTCTTGTTTTTAATTCGTATGCCATATTGTCATCTTCACTCAACAAGTGGTACCAGAGCCTGGTTAATTGGGCGACGGAGATGACAGGAGGATCGAAATTCGAGGTCTGAAAATTTGATGGTCATGGCAATTTCGGATTATGGCAGACGAGAGTAAAAGATTTATTGGCGCAACAAGGAATTCAAAAAGGGCTGCGTGCAGAAAAGCCAAAGGGGATGGAAGACGATGATTGGCAAGATCTGCAGGAACGGGCGGCCGAGACGATTCGGTTGTGCCTTGCAGATGAAGTTATGTATCACGTTATGCATCTCAAATCGGCGGATGAGATCTGGAAGAAACTGGAATTGCAGTTTATGTCGAAAACCCTAACGACAAAATTGTATCTGAAGCAGAGGTTATACGGGCTGAAGATGCAGGAGGGGACCGATTTAGGGCAACATGTGAATATCTTCAATCAGGTTGTAACGGATTTGGCTTCACTCAAAGTCAAGATTGAAGATAAAGACAAGGCGATGATTTTACTGTGTTCGTTACCTCCTTCTTACGAACATATGGTGACTACCCTTACTTATGGGAAAGAAACGATCAAGACTGAGGAGATTACGTCAGCGTTGTTGGCTCACAACCAGCGAAAACAGAAATCTGGAGAGTCATCTTCTCAAAGTAACAGTTTATATGTAAAGGGTAACCATGATCGTGGAAGAAAACAGGTGCGGGATAATTCAGGAAATCGGAATTTCATATCCAAGTCGCGAGACAAATCGAAAGGGAGGAAAACTGTGACGTGTTATAAGTGCAAGGAACAAGGGCACTTCAAACGGGATTGCCCAAAGTGGAAGAAACAGACTGCTGATATGTCATTCAAGTCTGTGAATGTGGTACAAAATGAGGAATCTGATTGCAGTGATGGATATATGTTATCTATTTCGACTACGCAGTATGATGATGACTAGATTCTCGATTCTGGATGTTCATATCATATAACGCCTAACAGAGAATGGTTTGCTACTTATAAACCAGACAACTCGGGTTCTGTTTTTCTTGGTGATGATAGATGCTGCGGTATTGTCGGTATTGGAGATGTCAAAATCAGGATGTATGATGGAACTGTTAGGACATTATGTGATGTGAGACATATCCCTGAGTTGAAGAAGAATTTGATTTCTTTGGGTACTTTGCACAAAAATGGTTTCATTCCCAAGGCTGATGAGGATAGGGAAACCATTAAGATTGTGAAGGGTGGTTTGACTGTGATGAAGGGGAGGATCACTACAGGGAACATTTACAAACTGTTGGGAAGTACAATTGTAGGTGGAGTCCATTCGGTGGAGTCATGTGAAGATAGCACGAAATTGTGGCACATGCGTCTTAGACATCTTAGTGAACATGGCATGACTGAACTGCATAAGAGGGGGCTTCTGTATGGTGTTAAAACTTGCAAACTCAATTTCTGCAAGTTTTGTGTTCTAGGAAAGCAGACAAAAGTCAGTTTCAAGACTGGGAAGAAGAAGACAAAAGGATTCTGGATTATGTACATTCAGATGTTTGGGGTCCTACTAGAGTGACATCGATTGGTGGTTCTGTGTACTATGTGACCATTATTGATGATTTTTCGAAGAAAGTTTGGGTGTATTTCATGAAGCATAAATCTGAAGTTTTTGCTAAATTCAAGCTATGGAAGGCTGAGGTGGAGAACCAGACTGGTAGGAAAATCAAGTACTTAAGGTCTGATAATGGTACAGAGTACACCGATTCACAGTTCCAGAAGTTTTGTGAGGAGCATGGGATTCAAAGGCATTTTAAAGTGCGTAAAACACCACAGCAGAATGGTGTTTCTGAGAGGATGAATCGGACACTGGCTGAGAGGGCGAGGTGTTTAAGACTGAATGTGGGTTTGCCAAAGAGTTTCTGGGCTGAGGCTGTAAGTATGGCTTGTTATTTAATTAACAGATCACCACGTGCATCTCTGGATGGCAAAGTTGCAGAAGAAGTATGGACAGGTAATGATGTTAGTTTTGATCATTTGAAGATTTTTGGTTGTCCTGCTTATGTTCATATTCCTGCTGATGAGAGGTCAAAACTTTATGCTAAATCAAAGAAGTGCACATTTTCTGGGCTATAAGAAAGGTGTGAAGGGATACAAGTTTTGGGATCCAGTCGAGAAGAAGACGGTGATTAGTAGAGATGCAGTGTTTGATGAACAGTCTATGTTGGGATCAGATGCAGATAAGGTACAAGTGGAGTTGGAGCATGTGCCAGCAGTTCTTGATAAGGGGGAGAGTTCGAGTTCTGCACCTGATGATGTTGATCATGATGTTTCTGGCCAACTGATGTGCCAGAGAGCTACAAGTTAGCTCGGGATAGAGTGAGGCGTACCAATATACAAGCTCCGGTCAGGTTTGGTTATGAGGATATGGTTGCATTTGCTCTTACGATCACTAGCGTGGATCCATGTACTTTACAGGAGGCTGTTTCTTGTGAGAATAATGATAGATGGAAGGCTGCCATGGAAGTAGAGATGAATTCTGTACACAAGAATCAGACATGGGAGTTGGATGTTCTTCCCGAAGGGAAGAGAGCTATTGGTTGTAGGTGGATTTACACAAGGAAGTCATCGGTAACAGAAAAAGAAGAGGAAAGGTTCAAGACTCGATTGGTGGCTAAAGGATACTCACAGCAAAAGGGGATTGACTATGATGAGACATTTTCCCCTGTGGTTAGACATACTTCGATCAGGGCTGTACTTGCATTGGTGGCTAGTTGGGATTTGCATTTGGAGCAGATGGATGTGAAGACTGCTTTCTTGCATGGTGACCTCGCAGAGCCTACTTACATGCAGCAGCCAGAGGGCTTCGTTCAACCAGGGAAGAAGCATTTATTTTGCAGGTTGAAGAAATCCTTGTATGGCTTGAAGCAAGCATCGCGACAGTGGAATATACGGTTTGATTCGTATATGGTGAAGATTGGCTACAAGCGTTGTGATTTTGATTGCTGTGTTTACACTAAGAGCCTTGGTGATGGTTCTATGATTTTTCTGTTACTTTATTTGATGACATGCTTATTGCTGCCAAGAATATGCGTGATATTGTTGATCTGAAAAGCCTTTTGAGTCAGGAATTTGAGATGAAGGATTTGGGGGCTGCGAAAAAGATTCTTGGGATGGAGATTCACAGGGACAGAGGATCGAAGAAGCTGTGGTTATCTCAGAAGGGTTATGTGGAGAAGGTGCTACAGAGGTTTGGGATGAATGAAGCAAAACCGGTGAGCACTCCATTAGCAAACCACTTCAAGCTTTCTGTTGATTAGTGCCCCAAGTCGGACAAGGAGACTCAGGATATGGTAGAGATACCTTATGCCAGTGCTGTTGGATGTCTGATATATGCCATGGTATGTACTCGTCCTGATTTAGCTCATGCTGTTGGTCAAGTTTGCAAGTATATGTCTAGGCCGGGTAAACAGCATTGGGAGGCAGTCAAATGGATTTTCAAATATTTGAAAGGTACTGCGGGACATGGTATTGTGTTTGGAGATCAGCGGTTGGATCCTTTTGTTGTAGGATATGTGGATTCTGATTATGCTGGGGACTTGGATAATAGGAGATCTACCACTGGGTGTGTCTTCACTTTTGGTGGAGGGCCTATTTGTTGGAGGTCGAATACTCAGCCTATAGTTTCTCTATCTACAACTGAAGCTGAGTATATTGCTTTGGCTGAAGCGACAAAAGAAGCATTGTGGCTTGCTGGATTGGTTAGAGAGTTGGGTATTCAGCAAGGTGGAGTTCTAGTACATTGTGACAGTCAGAGTGCCATTCATTTGGCTAAGAATCAGATATATCATGCTAGGACGAAGCATATTGATGTGAGGTTCCACAAGATTATGGAATGGATTACTTCTGGTGATATTCAGTTGGAGAAAGTTCATACTGAAGAGAATGCTGCTGATATGTTGACTAAGACTATTACTTCTGACAAATTCAAGCGTTGCTTGGATTTGTTGAATGTTTGTGCATGCTAGAGTTGCATGGTACCCCCGGCCTGCTTGGTGTGTCTCGCAGAGGTGCTCGCTATTGTGTTCTCCTAAGGAGATGATATATTCGCCAAGGTGGAGATTTGTTGATATGGCTCATATATTGACAAAGGAAGGAGGCAAGTTGATGCCTGCTCGCTCCACTCCGCTCACTTGGCTCGGTCGCTCCGCTTCCCTCGCTACGTTCGCTCCGCTTTCCTCGCTACGTTCGCTCCGTTACGCTCGCAGGCATCAGCCCTTGTTGGGCTGGGTCGATTAGTTGGGCCGGGGGTACGGGGCGGAGCCCCGCGGTATAGACGGGGGTGCGGGAGGGAGGGGGGGCAGAGCCCCCGCGGTACGTTACGGTACGGGGTATTTAAGTAAATTAATACCTTGTAGGGTTGTAGTATAAATACATAGTTGATTGATGTATTTGAGACTATTGAGAATAATAAAGATCCCTCAGCCGCTGTGGACGTAGGCACATTGCCGAACCACGTAAATCTTGTGTTGTTTACTTTTCTCGTTTTTAATTCGTATGCCATATTGTCATCTTCACTCAACAAAACTCAATACTGAAAATACAGAGCAGGGATCTGCTAAGATGAGGGGGAGAATCAATTATTGAAATATATAAATGCTATATGCATCACACTGAAAATGTGCAAATAGTAGAATGAATGATACTGATGGTGGTGAATTATATGAAACGATATGATGATGGAATAATACGTTAGAAGCATTGGTATCGTGCAAGTTGAAATTCCCAAAATAAGTGATGAAAAGAGGCATTTATATACTATTGATGAAATCAATTGATAATGAGATATCTCAATATATTACGGGGAATATTGGAAATGAATAAGTATCGACACAAATAAATGAATAGTACTGTATAAATGATGTTGATGAGAATGAAATCAGTTGAAATGTGAATTATTGGGAACTATTGACAGTAAGATCATTGAAACCAGTTGATGATGAGAATGGGTTTAAGAATGAAAGTTGCATAAAAGCATGATATGGCATATTATAATGTACCACGAGTATCAGAAAATCTGAATTAATCTATATGATATTCATGAAAATTATGGAAAGGTTATTATGGTGAATATATGGAATACGTGTTGTACTTTTTTTCCCTTGGTTGAGGTTTTGCTCCATTGGGTTTTCCCAGCAAGGTTTTTAATGAGGCAATAGGGATGCTCGTATTCACATGAATAGTGTACTCTTTTTCCTTCAATTCATTAGGATTTTGTCCTACTGAGTTTTTCCTAACAAGGCATATTCATGGTATAATGAGGATTACTGGATAATTGATATGATTCCTCATGATGATGAGAAACGACTGGAGTAGTTGTACTCTTTTTCCTTCGATCAAGTTTTTTCCCACCTGGTTTTCTTGACAAGGTTTTAATGAGGCAGCACGTAGATACTCCACTAAAGATGATGTATTTGAGGGGGAGCAATGATGTGCTACCACAATGCTCATGTTTTGTCCCACCGGGTTTTCTTGAGGAAGCAATGTTATGATTTCAAGATGATCAGATTTTGTCTCACCGGGTTTTCCTGATATACTGAAGCACCAATATCGATGGCTACAAGATACACTTCAAGATATTCAGATTGAGCTTTGTTCAAATCAGTTAAAATATGTTTAGAAATAGTCATTCAAGGGGGGGGAGTGGGGGGTGTTATGAAATAATTAAAATAATGTATGTGAATGGCTATTTCACCCTCGATGTATATGTATTATTATTAGGGGTGAGCATGGTGCGGTTCGGTCAAAAACCGACCCGCACCGCAAAAAAATCGAAAATCGATTTTCTGAAATTTCTTAACCGCACCGCACCGCAAGTGAAAAAAAAAAACGAACCAAACCGAACTGAAAAGTTAGGTTCGGTGTGGTGCGGTTTTTCGGTTAACCGCAAATAAAAAAAATTACTAC